AAAACAACGTTGTAATTTTTAATAATAAAAAAAAAAGCAAAAAAAAAAAAAAAATGAAAAAAAAAAAAATTTTTTTTTTTTTTTTTTTTTTTTTTTTTTTTTCTATGATGGATAGGAACTCATAAATTCATTACATCTGTAAGTCAGATAAGCCATTTAAAACAGCCCCAGCACTGCACACACACTAGTGTTGCTAGACAGAAATGAAAAACAATTAGTCCATAAAATGTGTTTTTTTGTTTTGTTTTGTTTTAAACAGGAATTTATAATTTTGGAAGGTGCAAACTATAGTTTTTCAGTGCTTTGGGATATCTGATGCACTTGGAAGTACTGTCTGCAAAGATAAATGTAGCACAATAAACTTTGCATGTGCTTGCTGTGGTGTATAAATTAATTCACATTTTTTATTTAGGTTCAAGACAACTTAAACAGGTTTGCTTTCCAAAATATGTAGAATCCACTTCATCAGTTTTTTAATTTTTGTATTGTTGTATCTGTCAATCATGAACAGCTTAACTGTATTTCAAAGCAGACAGGATGCCCTCACCTGTAAAGGACTAAAGATTATTGCTGGTGGCTCAATGTTGTTCATCTTCGCAGCGTTTGTGATTATGGCCTCGGCTTCTTTTATTCTTCTCTGAGAAAGCAGCCACCGAGGAGACTCTGGGATAAACCTGCCTCATTTGACAACAGTGAGAAACAGCAGGAAAGACATCAGCAGTAATATAACGCTAAATCTGAGAATAACACAAAGAACTGAAAGTCAATGTAAAAAGGCAGAAACATAATTCATATTGGAAAAGTACTGAAAACCACTGTCTACTGAAAAGTAGACCAATCAGTGAGATGACCTGAAGATACGATTGTGGAATGCTCAAAGAATTTGCAAAAATCTTAAAGTTACACCTCAACAGCCTCAGGGTGTTAAGTGTTAAAATTCAGGACTGTGGCGTTAGCAAAAGGTCTCAACAAGTATGGCATATTTGAAAATGTTCTCAAAAGAATATTCTGAACAGAGCATGGCAGCTAAGCCCAAGTTTTCAAAGCTTTTCTTTTTTTAAGCACACCATAAAACTCTGGGGTGTTCTTTGGACACAGCAAGACCAGTGTGGAGAAGACTGCCCTTAACACACAATGCAATGTGTTTAAAACCAAATACAGTAAACTCAAGATTTGGGCTCAATTTACAGCCACAAGACTGGTCCCATCTGCAGTCACTGGGTCAACCATGAATTCATCTGCAGACCAAAGTATTTAGAGTTAGATGTGAAGACTGCTGATGCTTGGCAGAAAATAGACACAAATCCTAAGCACAGCAACATATTTAACAGACTGCAGAAAAACAATTTAATTCAATTCAGTTTATTTATATACAACAGAAGTGATAGGGGCACTGTATAAAAACATTCACATACATACAAAGATCATTAGGGTAAAGTTATCTGTTCAAGGAAGGAATTTATGTTGCAAAACGTGTTGCAACAGTCAAAGTCCAGGCCACAGCCCAACTGAAACGATCCGATGGAATCCATGCAAACAAGCAGTATGCCAGTGCTCCTCGCTGCTGAATGGTTTGAATAGTGAATATTTGTAATTTGCAGGAGGAGTATTTTTCTGGACTGGAAGTGAACTGGGAACGCAAGTGAACCTTATCGTTTTTGGTGCATGTTATTTAAGTGGGTATACCGTAGTTAACTGTGTATAACAACTGAGGTACTCCCCCACCCCATCCCCGTCCAAAGCAACGCAGAGTGATGGATCCTTCAAGCAAAGGAAGCAATTTTATCCACCACTAGGTGCAAAGACAGAGCCAGGGGTGTTTAATGGTGGACTTGGCCACCATAAATTGATCTTTGGCCACCGCAATCATTGAGGAACTACACTTTTAAGCAGTATGAAAAGTAGAATGCATGGTTTCCTCAAATGATTGGGGTGGCCAATATCCATCTATCTATAGATCTATAGATAGTTATTGGCCATCTTGAATTTTGACGTGGCAACCCCATTTTTGAAAAGGAAACTTTCTTACACCTAGAAGCAGCCAAAACCAAAATGGAAGTCGGTACCTTACTTTTTTTCCAAGTTATTGTGGTCAAAACATTTACTGATGGACGGATGGAATTTCAACCTTCCCCTTTTTGCTCTGCCACATGAGGCAAAAATAAAACAAGTTTGTACAAATTTCAATGAACTGAAGCAAGTTGTGAAAGTGAATCAAAAATACTCTACAATGTTTAAGTTTTAGATCAGAAGTTAGTTTCAACAAATATCACTAGAACTCTATCTACAATGTGCTCTTCGTATGTTAGGATTGAAGATTTGCCTACTCCCCAGCACACCAGCATTTTGAAACATGACCACATGCTTAAAAGCATGAATTATAATTTAAAAAGTAGAATTTTAAAAGAATGAAACAAGGTTGAGTCAAGTCTTCTGGATGGATTCTTCTTTGTAGAAACATTCCATCTTTTACAGGGTGACAGTTGAAGATGGACTCCACCCCTGGGCAACAAAAGAGCTGGAGGCCTCCATGTTCAACTGTCCCCCTCTTACAATGTTGTTATTGCAAGTATCATTCAGCCCTCTGTGAATAGCAATCAATCATTAGGGGAGTAATCGATTGTTAGGCTGATGGTCCTCCTTTTGCAAAGGAACAGCTAGTTTTGTCGGTCACCAGTAAACCATTTGATCCACTATGAGAAGGTGCTGCATATAGGACCGAGTTTGTTGCAGCTCCTCAAACTGAAGACCTTAGAATTAAAGACAAAACATTTTAACAAAGAAGCATCTGTCAAGAAAACCTGACTCATCCTTGCTAGATCCATTTACTTGGATTACGGAGCATGCATCAGAATAATATATAATAATGTTTTCACCAACAGCAGCAAAATATATTTAAATTGGTTTTATTTTACCAGCAGCAATGTCTACTTTATTTACACAGAGAGGCAGGAATTAAAATGTATGCTAAACCTAGCCTATGGGAAGGTTGGTTCTGATCCACACGTGACTGAGGGATGTCATGAGCGCCGCAGCATGGCCGCACTGACGGGAGCTCCGCTTCAACTCGATCTTTTTTTGTTCCTGTTGTTCTCGTTTAAAACTTTTTTGCGCCCACACCACACACCCAAGCTATGGGTGTGACCGCGACACACGTGGAGTTTTGTGTGTCACTGCCTTGATATCATGTCATCCTGCCATCATGGTTCAGTTCCTAGACCCCTCCATCTTCGGGCTCAAGCCTGTCATAGTGGCCATTTCCATGATCCTCCATCTGCTTGTACGGACCAAACTCTACAGACCTGTTTGACTCTGCAGGGAAAACCTTGGATGTTCTCCGTCTGCTGGATCCGGTTCTGGCGGACAGTCTGGGAGGGCAGCTGCTTTGGTCACTATCATTAAGCTGCTAGCAAGGTCTGCTAATGCTGCTAGCAGGATCTTCCATCTGCCAGCAAGGACCGAACTCCACGGACCCGTTCAGTTCTGCGGGGTAACCTTGGATGTTCTCTCTGCCGGACCTGGTGTAACGTGGTAGTGATGGTGGTGCGTAGGAGGAGAGCTAGCTTAGCATTAACAACATGTGCTCCTGCGTAGCTTGGAAAAGAGCGACAGAACCTTGATTCCCACTTGCACTTTATTACATAACTTAGAAAACCATACAATGCCAGGTCTCCACGGCACGAAGTCTAATATTCATACATGAATATATATAGAGTATAGTCCATATATCCTTCACCACTCGTTACTGAGGTTGAGCGGAGCAGCTAAACGTC